CGCGCCTGGGCGGGGTGAGGGGCGCGTCCGGGCCTTGCTGTGCGGTGCTGGGCTGGCGAGGGCTTCCCTGCCAGGAGATCCGGGCACCTAAGAGGCCAGGGCTGACCAGCGCGCGAGGAGACCCCAGCTGCTCCTTCGCGTCCCCATCTCTGCCTCTGCACCCTCTGTCCGATCAGCTCCCGGCGCCTGGCTTTCTTCATTCTCTTGCTTAGCAGTTACATGCCTGTCCCCGGCTAGATGGCGGGACTGGGCCCTAGGACTGGGAGGACTGAACCATCCTGTCTTCCTGGCTGCCGCAGCCTGTTCCAAGGCCCAGTCGGTGCACCAGCCGTGGAGGAACGGCTCGGGTGGGTGGGTGCACAGGTGCCTGCACCAGTCTCCCATTTCACTCCTTCTCTGTTCCGCAGACCCCCTTGCCTCATTAGATTTCCCAGTTTATTTCCCCTCCGCAGACCTGTTTCTTCCCCTTACTGGGAATGGCTGGGGCCTCACCAGTGGAGACCCTTCACAGTTCTCCTAAAGATCAGGTGTAAAAGTGATGAGGAGAAGGCCACTGAAGTCCGCTGGACACATAGAGTTAGGGTCTTTTGTTTGAACCTAAGGCCTTTGAAGTGAATTAATGTTTAATTTGAGACAGGTTCTCACTGAGTCGCTAAGTTCCCCAGGCTGGGCTCAAACTTGCAACTGCCCTGCCTCAGCCTCCCGGAATGCTGAGATCATGAGTGTGCACCATCACACACAGCTGCAGTCAGGGCTTTTATCTTGCATCAGTTTATCCATTGCACTCCCTGGGCCAAGCCGGGAAGAAGCCCACCTGGCCTACAGCTCATGGCAGGAAACAGACAGAGAGGAGGAGATTGGTGGAAACCTGAAGGCTGGTGGGGTTCTTGAGCTAATGGCCCAAGGGGGCTCTCGGGAGAGGTGGCATCTGGGCTAAGACCCAGGAGGCCACCACTCAGGGGTGAGGGTGAAGCCCAGGATGAGGTGACCCAGGTGCTCAGGAGACAGTGGAGGAGGGAGGCTGGATGGTGGTGACCTCAAGGACAGTGCTGGGAAATGAGACCCAGCCCCGGAGACACCAGGTGGGGCTGCGTGGGACACAGGGAGGGGAGAAGATGTTGTGCTTCAGAAACTGAAAAACGTGTGCACCTGGCACTGAGCATCGCTCTGTGTGCGGGAAGGGAGCGTCCCTCTTCCTGCTGAAGGTTGGATGGACCTACAGTAACAAGTTGCATAGGAGAAAAGGTGCAGACTTACCACACACATGAGCGCAGCTGCACAGTGCAATCCCGGACCGGGCAGGGGCTCCTGCCACCTTCCACAGAGGGCGGGTGGAGCACGCGGAGCAGACTTTTACGGTGGGTGCAGTGACTCAAAGCCCCAGAGCTGGGACAGAGGCACAGCCGCGGAGCAGTTGGCACCCAAGATGTCTAGGAGTGATGGCCCTGGGCCCAGATCCCTACTCCAACTGTGTGTCCAGTCTTCCAAGGATCCCCACATGCACACACCCCCGAGGCCATGCCTTTCTTGCCTTTGTCCCAGTTCAGAGGAAAATTAGAAAGATGGTTTAGCTGCTGCCCCTCCCTCCCTCCCGGGACAGGTGAGCTGTGCACCTGAGCTGCTGTACCCCTCACCTGGCCTTGGGGATGCGCAGGCAGGAGGAGGCCAGGCCAGTCACAGAGAAGCTCACCTGAGTCACGTGGGGCCGCCCAGCTCCTGGGCTCCTGGTTCTCAGAATAAAGGCTGCTGTCTGTGACTTAGTGGCTGTTCAGGGCCTCACCTCTGGGAGGATTGCTGGGAGAATGAGGGAAAAGCAGATGTTGTTGGAAGACATTGTCTGTCCCCGAGGACAGCATGTTCTGGCCTGGAAGGGGAGGGGAAGGAGGTTCCCAAGGTGATGGGAATTCCCCTGAGCCAGTCAGCAGCAAGCAGCAAGAACTGGAACAAATCCCTAAATGTTTCCTCTGCCAAGGACCCTGGTGACTTTCATGGGATCCTGTGTGGTTGGAGAGGGACCCCAAGTAAGACCAGAGTCCCCTCAGCTTAGTCGATAGAGCATCTGCACTAGAGAAGATTGGACTGAAAGAAGGGGCTCTGTTCTTACACTTGTGAGTTTGTCACTGCATACAAACACCATTCCTAGGACAGTGCTGCACACATGTAGTCCCAGCAATGTTGGAGGCTGAGGCAGGAGGGTCAGGGCCAGCCTGGGCAGCCTAGCAAGATCCTGTCTCTTAAGATGTGTCTTCTAAAGAAACTAACACTTGATGCATAAACAGTACAAAATTGTGGTGGCTTTATTGAAATCAGAAGCACAAAGAGGGCCGGGAGCACTTGGGGGGGATCCAGCCAGACGTGAGGTCAGGGCAAGCTTCGGGCCTACGAGTGCTGGCTCCCTGCTTAACAACCGAAGCACAAGCCTGGCGGCTTCATCACCCCATGGCTCAGGGCTCCTATCGTGGGCACCCTGGCCTGACTGCCTCATGGGGTGGCTCTGAGAGTCAGATGCATCAGCACATTTCCTGTGTTCTACACCTGTGTCTGGGATGAAAGAGGTACTCAGTGAATGCAGGGTGTTCATGGGAAATATGGCCCTCGGGTATGAGGGAGCACAGTGCCTCTCACTTTCCAGTGGCCAGGGGTAGGGGCAGAGGGAGCACCCTAGGGGAGCCCTCCTGCTCCAGGGACAGCTGACAATCCAGAGGCAATTTGGTGTCACTGGTGGTGTTGGAGCTGTGGGCCTAGAGCCACTACATCCTCTGGTATCCAGGATGGCCCACCTGATGCCATCCTGTCCATCTGGGGGAGGGCCGAGCCTGCGTCACCATCCAGAGTCACAGCCTGCACTGTACAGCAAAAAGACAGCTTCCCAGGAGAGGCAGGATATGGTCATTGGGTCCTAGTTACCCGACAGACTGCCAACCTGTGCCCCGGCCTCCGGTGAGCAGAGCCCATGCTTCAGGGACTCCATGTGCAAAAACAGGATTGGAAACGGACTGAGCCTAGCTGAACGGAGAAGCAGGAGACCCACACCTGCATGGCTGGCCAGCCCTTCTGGTCCGGGACAGCGATCCTCCCTCAGGTTCCTGCAGGAGCCTTCTGCAATGGGGTCCTTTCGTGGGACAGAGGAGGGGAGAAAGTTTCTGCATGGCTCCCGGCAAGATGGAAGGGCAGGGTCCTGGCTGGCTTTGGTGAGGTTGTGGTTTCTGTGACTTAGGCCAGAAGAGAAATTCTAGTTTCTGTGCTTTGTATGGGGGAGAAAGAGGAGAGAAGAAGGAAGGTCATCAAGAAAGCTTCTGAGCTTCACATTGGGGTGTTATTTTTCTGAGCCCCAACATCAAAGCTCCAGAGCCTTTCAGAGGCCCATCAGTGGCACATGCATGCACAGACGTGCATGCACACTCATGCACACACACACACACACACACACACACACACACACACACATATACACACCGGGACCCTAGGGGACGAGCATGCCTTGGGTCTGGTGTGGCGGAGGAACGCAGAGAGCAGGGCTGGGGCTGAGTGTTGAGTGCAAGCCCTTGGCTCCTTCTCCTCAGAGGAAGAGAGGGCAGCAGGCAGGGGACATGGGCTCTACTGTTTGGTTTATTTTTGTTAGTCTGTGTTGGCAGTGCATGAGGGTCCCAGCACCACAGCCATCGTGGGGAGCTGTCACATGCACAGCACACATCTCAGTTCTTTTTATTTCCCTTTCCCTTTCTCCCTCCTTCTCTGGACCCCTTTGTCATTTGAAAAAAAAAATCTGTCTCCCTCTTCCTCGCCATCGATCTTTTATTCTGCTCTTTATTTATACTTTGGGTTTCTCATGTAAGAGAAGCCATGCGATGTTGAAGCTCATGTGTCTGATGTTTCGCTTCTCATTATGGCCTCGGAGTGCGACCATTTTCCTAGAAATGACTGAACTTATC